ATATTGGAAGTCAACTTGTTGAATCCTTCAAAGATCTTCAATATTCGAAATCTTTGATCGATCATCTTGTTCAACGTCTTGGTGATGAAGAACGATTAACAGCTGTTTGTCTTGATGTATGTCTTTCTACAATTCGAACAGCCGATGATATTTTGACACTTCTCAATCTATTCACCAGTTATGCATTGACGAAAGATGAGTTTATGGAAATCTTCTTTCATGGAACAACTCCAACAGATTTTTCGACATTGCAAAAGAAGATTGAAATTTTCATTCTTGGAAAAACATTGAAATCCCATTGGATTGGATCGAATGAAAACTTTTCACGTGTTCGAACTTTGTTTCAAACTTTGATTCAACGTGGATGGACGGTACCGAAATTACTGCTTGTCCTCACCATCAAAGGCCCAACGAAAACATCGGAAGAATTACTCTATTTGATCGATATTTTGAAGATTCTTGTCGATTATAATGTAGATTTGAATCTTTTTCCTCATCTGGAACCGATTCTGTCGGAAAATGAACTTCGAGCCTGTTCAGTATTGATCTACAATCGTGTAGTTGAACATTGTTTTGGTTCAACAAGTTCAGAGAAGAATCTCAGTACATTATTGTCTGAATTGGACGAATCGAATCAACAGGTCAATAAGAAAGAGTTGCTCAAGAAATATAAAACGATCGAATCGAACTACAGCTTAGATTCAACTGTTTTTCCTCAGAAGAAACCTATCGAATCCTGGTCAAAATCAATGATACAACGATGGGCTGAACGTGTTCGATCGGAACCAGCCACTGTACTCGAAATGATAGCTGTGATCAAACGTGCTATTTTTCTCGATTCAAATTTTGAGCCTCGTCCAATTCAAATCTTAGCGGTTCTCATTCTACTCGATCGAAAGGAACAAGGTGGACGATTATTACAAATCTTAACTGGTGAAGGTAAATCAACAGTTGTATCCATCTTAGCTGTGATCAAAGCTTTACAAAATCAACATGTGGACATCATCACCAGTTCAATTACCTTAGCTAAACGTGATGCACATGAACGAAAAGAATTCTATGATTATTTCAATGTCACTGTTGCACATAATAATGATGAAACAAGTTACAGTTCAGGACCCAAATTATGCTATCAGGCGGATATTGTCTATGGAAATTCCAGTCAATTTCAGTTTGATCTTCTTCGTCATGAATTCAGTCTGTTGAATACACGGTAAAACTTTTTTCGAAGATTTTCAATGAAAAACAATCGAATTTCTGTTATAGAACATTGGATAAAGACAAAGGCCTTACACGTCGTTTTGATGCTGTGATCATTGATGAAGTAGATAGTATGTTAATTGATGAGAATAATACGTTGGCTCGTCTAGCTGATCAATTACCGGGGATGGAATGGCTCAATCCAGTCCTCTATGGCATTTGGCGTTGTATTGATTCTGAGAAAGAACCATCTGTAAAACGAGATCAAATTATTGATAACATGAGAAAACTCGTCACTGATCCAAAGTCGGATTTGAAACTTCCTCAACATTTGAAACGTTTCATTGATGAATCGATCCCTGTTTGGATCGATCATGCCATTCTAGCAAAAGTGGAATATCGACTCGATCATCATTATATGATTAAATCGGATGAGACACGAACCAAACGAATAATGCCGATCGATTTCTCGAATACAGGAGTGGTGCAACCGTGTACAACATGGAGTGATGGTCTACATCAATTTCTGCAAATCAAACATGGATTGAAAATGACCGCATTGACTGTAACAACGAATTATCTCTCGAATATTGGTCTTTTCATTCGTTATGGAAAGAATATCTTTGGTTTAACTGGAACCATCGGTTCGAAAGACACACAGAATCTTCTCGATCTAATTTATCATGTTGATACAATTATTATTCCACCATTCAAACAGAAACGATACATTCAATTGGAACCAATTTTAGCTGAAAATGATGATCAATGGTTGAAAACAATTGTCTCGGAAATGATCAGCAATGCTCGACATCAACGCGGTATTTTAGTCATTTGTGAAACTCGATTAGATGCGAAAACGATCAGTAAACAAATCCAACGAGCAGATCCAACACTTCTCGTTCGTTTATACACGGATAATACCGATGCAGTTGAATCGAATGTCGTTGGAAATCGAATTCAATCGGGTGAGATCATTGTTGCAACGAATCTGGCAGGTCGAGGAACGGATCTGAAAACCAGTCCAAATGTTGAGAAAAACGGTGGTTTACATGTTTGTTTAACCTATCTTCCCAATAATTTACGTGTGGAAGACCAAGCTTTTGGTCGAACATCTCGTCAAGGTCAGCGAGGAACATCACAAATGATTCTCAGTTCTCAACGAACATTTGAACAATTAACGAGTATTCATCCTGAATATTCAATAACAAATCCAAGAAAAACATTCACTCATGCAATGGAAATCATTTGTGATTGGCGTCAACAAGCGGAACGAATTCATCTTGAACGGATGTGGAAAGACGAAATTGTTGAGATTAAATTCAAAGATCAATTATTTCAACGATTCTGTCAACTATTGGATAAATTACGTCAACAGAATGACAATGTCTATCGACTTCTATCCGTGAAAGAACAATGGGGTCTTTGGTTGAAATCTATGGATTATGTGACACAAAATCGTCGAAATCTTCGTCTCTATTTAGAAAAACTCGGTTTCATTCCTGAAGATGTTCCAGCAGATGGTCATAGTTTCTTTCATGCTCTCTCGAAACAAATCAATGGTGAACTTACTGCTGATGAAATCAAAAATCAAGTGATCGAACATATGATCAATCATTCCGATACCTACCGAACGATCACTGAAGAAGAACGTCATCAAGCCACATGTGAAGCATTGAAGATAAATTTAATCATCTATCGAACAGATTCTCGTTCTCCACATATCTATGAGCGAGAAGATGCCATTCATACGTGTACTCTTGGCTATGAAGTTGATTCCTATTACTTCTCTTTTCGATCGAATCAATCGGATGATGCAGCGGCAAAGATAAAACAAGAGAAATCTCGACGAGAACAACTTTTCAAACAATTCAAAAAATTTGTCGATCGAGCAAAAAAACAGAAGGAAACATTGAATGAACAATTAGCAACAAAAATCATCGATCATGATCTAAACAATGGTTTCACCATATTTGAAAACGAAATGAAAAAGAATTACGAAAAAGAGGATTTCATTCGGAATCCATGTTATCTCTTGATGGACGCAGAAACTGTCATCAAACAACTAACAACTTGGTCGAATAGTGCTCGATCATGGATTGAAGTTCTTCCAGGTACTGATAAACGTGCAGTGACTTACAAAGATGCTGTTGATCGATTGGAAAAAGCCATCAAACTTGATCCTATCTTTACATTTGCTGCCCAAGTGAATCTTGCCCATTTTCTCATCGATAAAGAACAATCAACACCACTTTACAAAATCAAAGCGAAATCCTATTTGAATCAAGCACAAGAAATCCTTGGGAAATACATTCTACCTCAATTGTATAGTATGCAAATGGAAACAGAGAAGAAGAATGACGAGGAATTAATCTATGATGACTTCATCAATCAGATTAAATTAAAAATAAGTATTCTTCAATTGTATCAGAGTCATGTTAGTCAAGCGATCACGATTATTGAAGATTCACAGAAATTAATCGATATCACTGTCACAGATGAAGATAATCCTGGTCGAATTTGTCTCGGGAAAAAATTGTATCGTGATGAAGTGACAACATTCCTCGATCAAGCACATGGGGAGATCGATTTAACTTTTTACAGTTTGAAATGTCATACTGATCTCTGGAAACATGATCAAGCATTGAAATTACTGAAGATACTTTCGAAAAGAAATGAACATGTTTCAATTCATTTTCTCGATGGATCGATGACGAAAATCGAAGAATTGGAATCCATCATCACGTCGGAAAAGATTCAATTGAATATCGAATATCTTGATTCCAATGAACTTGAGCCTTTGTTGGAATTAGGATCAAAGATCGATCTGAAATTAATAGCAACAACAACAGATTATTTGGCCGTGCTCAAAGCCATTCATGAACATATGGAATCAAATGAGAAATCTCATCAAACACGAAAAGAAACTTCCAAGATACGAAGTGATCGACGGATCATAGAAATGAATGATCACATTGAATTGATCACTGATACACATCGTTTAGTATTGACAGCTGATGATGCTTTGAAAACTCTTCAAGATGAGAGTATAACCGTTGAATCCGTTCTCTTCAAATCGATCCGCAAAGAACACGTGCATTTTATCCTATCTCATGTCACTCAACCCAGTTTTACATTAATATTTCATTCATTAACCATGGATCATTTGAAAAACATCGTCAAAGATGTGACAAAACCATTTAATTACAAATTTCGACATTTATCGACAAGTCAAGCGAAGACATTGATTGAAAAGACCAGTGATCGAGATTTTCTTTTATTGATTCAACATTTATCCGTCAATCGTGCAAAGAAAATAATTAAGGAATTCGATCTCAATGAACAACATGTGAAAAGCAGTTTGAAATATTTGTCGGAAAATTTTTCTAAAACTGATCAACAATACGAAGAATTAAATGCTTATGGTTTGTTAGGTGTCAGTCTATTGATCAATGTCGATGAACTTACTCCACGTCCATGGATCAGTGTAACGATTGTTGTCGTCGGCGGTGTTCTTCAAATTGCTGGAGGTATTTATCTCACTGCAGTCACCTGTGGTCTCGGCATTACTTTTGGTATTTCATTGATTGGTGAAGGTATCAATGATATTATCTTTGGCATTCGAGGAGCTCTATCACGACGATTCTCTTGGAAAGATTATGCGATACAAAAAGGTATCAGTCTTGGTATTTGTTTTGCAACATTGGGCTTCTCAGCTGTTTCTCAAGCATACAAAGGTGTCCAAGCAGTTGGATTAGCCGGTGCATCTTCCACTATCTCAGCGACACGACAAGGAGTTGTGGCAATTTTCAAGAACAGCTTTCGAACAGTTGGTTCAGGTGCTTTGAAAGGAATTTCCAGTTCAAGTTGGTTATTAGCTCTTACACAAGTCGGTATTACGTGCGCTGAAACAGGTGTAAGAGAGTTGGCCAATTACTTTTCTGATGCAGCCTACCAAGGACTTCTTTCACAAGTTAAATCACTGATTCGAGAAGAGATCGAATCGATCGTTCGAACAAATCAATCAAATGAACACTATCAACGTATATTCAATCGAGCATTGACTGTCGATCGATATTATAATAACGATGAATGGCAAAAAGAAGTTGAACGAATTGCAATGGATATTTTAACGAAAAATAAAGATCAATTTCTGGAAACAGTTCAATCTTTATCCAAAGGTATTACCAATGCTTTTCTCAATCATTCACGACAATTTTTACGTGAAACCGGTGGCAAAAGTAATTATGGTGGATATGTCAAGACTGCTCAATTGTTATTGACCATTGGACCGATGCTGAAAGGTGCACAAGAGATCAGAACATTGACCGATTCATTCTATACTCAATACATGGCACAATTGAAGATATTGGAAGAGAAAATTCCTACATTCGAAGATCTTCTCGTTCATGCCTTGAATCAAGAAATATCATCATCATCAACGAGACGTATCGTCAAATCTTTAGTTAAACATTCGATTCTCACTTCTGATGGTCTTCTTCATTCCCAATTCAATCAAGATAATGATGAAGAACCTGATTTGAGTAATGCAGCTAGTTTCTTGCAAACATCAGATGGACCTACACGAACACCAAAAGAAAAATTACGTCATCGATTAAAGAAATTGAAATTTAAAAAAGATGAACATCGAATCTCTACTGAAACATTGTTGATGAAAATTGTTGGTAGTGAAAATCATTCATCACTTCGTGTCAATATCTTTCAAAAGAAAATTGTCACTATATTAGTCGATCAAGTTTGTGCCATTCTCTATGGTACTATGGTTACACCATTGAAGAATTTTGTCATTTCTCAAGCTATTGCTGCAATGTCAACGGCGATTCAACTTAAAATCAATCCTGATGGAACCGTAATGGAACAATTGATGGAACAAGGTGCACAACGTTACATTCATGGTGTTGCTAATGATTTGATCGACAAGTATAATCGAGGTGAACTCAAAGTCGATCCACAAGCAAAAGAAAAACTCGATAAACTGCTTGAAGAATCTCAAACCACGAGTGATCAACCGAAAACTTTGAACGAAAACTTAGCGTTGAATGTCGTCAATGGTAAACAAGGTGGCATTATTGAATTGGCTGTTTTAGCCATGTTAACAAAGAAGCCAATCACGGTACTCAAAGAACAATCTGATGGACAAGCAAATGCAGATGATGGAAGTATTCAGATGGTTTACACTCCACCTACAACGGACAAAACAACAGGAAAAACAATTGATGGTCATTATGAATTGGCAGGAGGTACTACAGCACGGGGTGGACCAAATGATTGCTTGTACACAACTATTCTTAGTAAAGCACAAGATCAATTTTCATCGGTTAGTGAAATGCGAATGCAATGTGCTGCATTTATCTTAACCAATCCGAGTTTTATCTCGGGAATTCATCCAGCTTTAAGTACCATTAATCACACTCGAAATCCACTTCGTTGTAGAGAGTTGATGGGAGAAGGTGGTGCGAAAAAAGCTCCTTTTATCTATTCAGAAGAAAAACGTCATGAAAAATCTACAAGCCTGCAAGATGCCAATGGAAAAGTGGTGCAAGATGTCTTAGATTTTGTGAATAGTTCTGCTCTGGAAGGCGCTTCAACCGATGCCAAGAATTGGATCAAGTCGATTATCGAGACAGATTTGACAAAGTTTCATGAAGAAAATCAGCAGGGAGGCGTTGAAAGCGGATATAT